AACCCGCCACCTTAGGTGTACGTGGCTGGCGCCTTAGCCGGTTGAGCTATAGGCGCCGAGCCTACCTTGGTTCCTCAGTGCGGTTCCGAGGTGCATGCCCAAAAGAATTGAAAGCCAAGATCAAACAGATACTTGTTCACAAACGTTCATAGCAGTGTTAGTCACAGTTCAGTTGTTTGTCAACAGTGGTGGTGTATATGTACAAGTTGTGGAATATACATACAATGGAATATTACTGATCCTTAAAAAGGAATGAAATTCTTGTACATGTTACAATATAGGTCAACCTTGAAAACATATTAAGTGGAATAAGACAAAAAAGGACAAATACTCTATGATCCCACTCAAAAATATAAGTAGGAAGGAGCTTACCAGTGCTGGTGGAAGAGTGGAATGGGAGTTGTTTAATAGATACAGGGTTTCTGTGGTGGTGAAAAAACTCTAGAACTTCATAGTGGTGATGGTTGCACAACATTTTGAATTACTTACGATGTCACTAAATTGTGCTTTTAAAAATTGTTTAATGTGCCAGCCTGAGCAAGAGTGAGACTGTTTCTACAAAAAATAGCCAAGTATTGTGGCACACATCTGTAATTCCATCTTCACGGGAGGCTGGCACGGGAGGGTTGCTTGTGCCTAAGAGTTTAAGGTTGCTGTGAGCTATGCACTCTAGCTGGAGCATCTCAAAAAAAACACTGCCAGCGCTTTAAAGGCATAGAGAGAAGGGGAAAATGCAGGGAACAAGGCTGATGAGGCAAAGTGGTTACATTTTTGTGGAAATTATTCTGTATCACGCTGTAATTGTGGATACATGATATTATCCATTTGTCAAAACCCATAGAACTGTACAAAATGAAGAATGATGACTCATGTTAATTGTGGATTTAATAATAATATTCATTCATCATTTGTAACAAATGTCTTCACACTAATGCAAAGTGTTAATACAGGTTGAGTATCCTTTATCTGAAAATGTTTGGGACCAAAGATATTTTTGACTTTCAAGTGTTTTTCAGGTTTCTATATATGTGTATTATACTTACTGGTTGACCATTCCTATTCCTAATCAGAAAAACTGAAAATTTCAGTGAAGGTCATATTGGCACTTAAAAAGTCTCAGATTTGGGAGCATTTTGGATTTTGGATTTTCACATTAGGGATGCTCAGTCTGTAATAGGAAAAACTCTTGGAGAGGGTGGAAGGTGTATAGTAATTCTTGTACTTTCTGTTAAATTTTTCTTTAAACATAAAACTCAAAAAATAAGTATTTTGTAAAAATCAGCTAAAGTACACAAATACTAATATGGCTATAGAATCCATCTAGCTTTAAACATGTATTAAATGTTAATTCTGTGTATTGAATTTTAATTTTAAAAAAAGCTGAACATCAAGTGTATTTTAAAAGACAATCCATAGTGTTAGACTTCAAGGAAGAAATTGAATGGGAAATGGAAAGTAGGTGTGATATATCAATTGGAATAGCATCGTGTTGAAACAGACTGGGTAGAGAGCTCCAGTGATCAGAACTTAGTTTTTTAGACAGAAGATGTGGTCTGTAGAAGCAAAAAGTAGAGTGAGAAATTTTTATTAATGTCAACAATTTGGAATTACTTTTATAGTTAGGAGCCTTGAAATTTAGGAAGAAAAATTGCTAGAATCTTAAAAACTGAAAGCAGTCTAAGCTGTATAGGCTCTGCCTGGAAGCTGAATTCTGGAGCTCAGTTCTGTAACATCCCTGCAGATCATTTAGCAACTGTGGGGAAGAAAGCATTGTATTAGAATAGAGATCCAGAATCAGGAAAATGCAGTCTTGTGTTGCTGCTTCTGATCTTACTATGATCTTTAACAAGTCAGTTCTCTTCCTCTGCATCAGTTTTCTGAGTTGTAAAATGAAGAGTTTGGATTCTTCTTCAGGATCCATGTGTCTTCTAAAAAAAAAAAAAAGTTTGGATTCAAGTCCTCTGTGGATCCCTATAGTACTATCTATACTGGTTATCTAATATGCTTCTAATTATGGCTTGCTTCTACCTGACAGAGTGTCTTGTTCTAGTTCATGATGGAGTAGTTCCTAAAACTGTTGAGAGCTGTAATCTGTTTTCCTGCTAGCTCCCACTTACTGTTTCTTGGACATCTTTCATATTCATAATTCTTCCCCTTTTGAAATTAAATGTCTGTGTTCATAAATGAGATGTTTTTTCTACTTTATTTTTTATTAAATCATACCTGTGTACATTAATGCAGTCATTGGGTACAATGTGCTGGTTTTATATATAATTTGAAATATTTTCATCAAACTGGTTAACATAGCCTTCATGGCATTTTCTTAGTGTGTTTAGACATTTACATTCTACACCTAGTAAATTTGACATGTACCCTTGTAAGATGCACCACAGGTGTGGTTCCACCTATTACCCTCCTTCCACCCATTCTCCCCCCTCCCTTCCCCTCCTTCTCCCCAAAATGAGATGTTTTTATTTTTATTTATTTATTTATTTTTTTTTTTGGAGACAGAGCCTCAGGCTGTCCCCCTGGGTAGAGTGCCGTGGCATTACAGCTCACAGCAACCTCCAACTCCTGGGCTCAAGCGAGTCTCCTGCCTCCGCCTCCCAAGTAGCTGGGACCACAGGTGCCCGCCACAACGCCCGGCTATTTTTTGGTTGCAGCCGTCATTGTTGTTTGGAGGGTCCGGGCTGGGGATTCGAACCTGCCACCTTAGGTGTACGTGGCTGGCGCCTTAGCCGGTTGAGCTATAGGCGCCGAGCCAATGAGATGTTTTTAAAGGGCATCCTACTTGCTTGCTTTTCTATGTTGTCTCCTTTGTTAGAGACTCTATTAAAGTGTCCTTCCTTTAGAAGAACAGGTGTAGTGATCTACTGGGATATTCTGTCCAGTTCAGAATATGGCATGCAGTTTTCTATAGTCCTGTGTTTATGCACTTAATATGTGGATTCTAAATGTTGAAGTTTCATCTTGTTGATTTTGACTTATTATGCAGACTTTTAAAAATTGTACTAAATTCTACTGTATTAGTTTGATCATATCTAGAAAGAACCTGGGCAAATAGGCAAAACCTTTTCTGTCATCAGAAGCTGGTCATTTGCTTGATATTCAGCAAACTATTTAATGAAAGCCTTGAGTTTCTTTGACTTGTATAAATTGAAGTTGTTAAAGTAGATTGTCTCTTAGGTCTTCTCCAGTCTCCAAATCTCATGATTCTGAGAGTAGATGGTCTGCGGTAGTTTTAATGTCCTGTGACTTTGAGACTGGGTCTCCAGTCTTCATGAGAGAATGTTAGAATTGACAGATGCTTTCTGAGCACAGACTGTGCTAGGATTACAGAATGAATGAGTGGATAGTTCTTCCTCTCTGAACGCACACAGCCTGCTATGATAGCCACAATGGAAGTGTGTGCACAGCTAGGGGTACAAAGTAGAATGAGAGGGAGTAGGGAATTGGCCAGTCCGGTGGACCCTTGAACAACCGAAGTTTGAACTATATGGTCTACCTGAGAACGAGACCTGTGTATATGGAGGGCTGACATTGTTATATGCAGGTTCCACAGGACACACTATGGGACTTGAGTATGCCCAGATTTTGGTATATTTGGGTGAGCCTGGAACCAATCCTGCATATACCCAGGGAGGACTGTACTTGAAAAGACGTCCTGCCACGGGAAGGAATTTTGCCTGAGGGCTGGGTGGAGAGGCAGGTAGTGTAAAGTATAGGAAATACCTAGGCAAAGGCCCAGAAGCTTGAAGAGCTATTTCAGGTAGGTCAGCATTTTGAGAATAGCATTCTGGTCACAGGCCAGACTGTGAAGAGCTTTGTCTGGCATGTTCAAAGTTCATACTGTAGGTATTTTGAGGAATTATGAGCAAGCAAGTCACATTAGGCTTTTATGTTTGGAAGATGACTTTGGTAGCAGCTTGGTAAATGGGTTGGAAGGAAGGGAGAGTGTCAGGGAGATCTCATGCCAGAACTGAAGCAGTGACAAAGCTCAGGGAATAGAGGGAAGGGTAGATGAGCACACTGGAATTTATAAAATGTATATGGTGATCACAAGTATCTTGTCAACAAACTTACCCAGGCCCTGAAGCTTCTCTTTGAAATGGTTATGGGAAGGGAAGAGACCAGAGCTGTCACTCTGCAGATCTATCTATCCTTTCTTCCTCCCTGTCAGGACACCACCATCCTCCCTTAGTTCTTTTTTTTACCCCTTGGTCCTGTTGACTGTGTTGTTTTTCTTCCACTGCATGTTAATTTGCTGCTCTGCTGTGTTCTATTGACAGTTGATGAAAGTCTGCCAGTTGTTACAGTCTGTAGTTACCCTAGTAGTCTTTTGAGTGTTCACCAGAAAAGTAAATGTATGGATTAGGGTACCAAGACTGTGTAAGGTGGGGTTGATTACCCTAGCATGATTCTATGATTCTATATGGATTATAAAAGGGAAGTAAGACATGGGCAGTATTAGGGGTGGGATCTATTGTAGTTTTTGGTGTCATTTCATTAAAGTAAGCATCCAGGGCTGGGCGTGGTGGGTTGCGCCTGTAATCACAGCACTCTGGGAGGCCAAGGTGGGTAAATGGACTGAGCTCATGAGTTCGAGACCAGCCTGAGCCAGAGTGAGAGCCCATCTCTAAAAATGGCTGGGCATTGTGGTGGGCCTGAGGAGTCTGAGGCAAGAGAATCGCCTAAGCCCAAGAGATATAGGTTGCTGTGAGCTATGATGCCATGGCACTCTACCAAGGGTTACAAAGTGAGACTCTGTTTCAAAAAATAAAATAAATAAAGTATCCAGGCTTATTATACAGGGTGAACAGGCTTATTATACAGGGTAATTTACACACGAACTTAATGTTTATCATGTATTGGAACCCTCTCACTGTTGGAGGGAGTGGGATGACAAGAGAAATACACAGGATTCCATTATAAGGGGCACAAATTATCATAAAGGTATAGTTTTCTTAATCATTCTTTTTTTCTTTCTTTTTTTCTAGGTTCAACTACTCATCTTTGTTCTTCTTAATTTACTAGAGGTTTAATCAAATAGCCATGTAGACTGCCTGGCCTTCAAAGACCACTTCTAAAGCGTCTTGTAAGACTACTGGTAAGTCTAGTAGAGAAAGCATGCTGGGCTTTATTTTCTACATCACTTTAAATGTATTAGTCTTAGACTTTTTAATATTTGTCATTTTTTTTAATGCTTAGGAGAATATGATGAGAAATTATTTTTTAAATTCTTGGAGTTCTTTTGTTTGTTTGTTTGTTTGTTTTTTCAGTTTTTGGCCGGGGCTGGGTTTGAACCTGCCACCTCTGGCTTACAGGGCTGGTGCCCTACTTCTTTGAGCTACAGGCACCACCCATGCTTGGAGTTCTTGAGGAAACACTACAAACATGTACGTGCCTATGTACAGTGATGTATGAATGTGTGCTAGATGTACATGTCTGTGGTAGATTTGGAGTATAAGAAGTAAATTCTGTAGCATTCTTTTGAGATTATTTTTTTAAGTGTGAGATTGGCCTGAAAAATTAAAGGACATTACAGGGGTAGGGATGAGTCTGTAATCATGAGTCTGACACAAAAGCCTGTACCTTTAATCTCTGTTCTGATGCCTGATATGACATAACCCTCTTCAGTGTGAGCTTAGCTGTTTGTTATAGCCACCTGTGGCCTGATGGGGTTATTGAGACACATCTTCCATTTTCCTCTAAAGTCTTGTAGTCTTATTGAATATTGTACTCTGAGGTAGATGGTTAATTCATTAAGAGATTGATGTTCAGTATTAAAATACTTACTTTTCTTCATTATAGTTCTTCTATGTCTAAAAACAGTATTGTAAAAGGCAGGGTGACTCCTGCGGTAAGTCAGGAATTAATACTTTATGAAGAAAAGCATTTGTTTCTTCAACTTCCTAATGCCACGGTCCTTTAATACAGTTCCTGTGGGTCTCAACCCACAGGTTTGGAACTGCTGCTTTAGACCAAAAAAAGGAGGGGGGCAAATGACATACTTACATAGATTATAGGAGACAATGTTGTTAGTAATAACATCTTTTAAAGCAAGTTATCAAAATTAGAGATGCTATTAAATTCTTTAAATTAATGTTGTAATTAACAAAAGGGAAACTATGTTTCTGATCTGTGCTATTTTTTGAAGAGCAGTAAAAAATATATATATGTTTACTCAGTCATTACCATTAGCACATAGCACATTGCATTTTCGTAGAAGTGGCTGGTACTTTGGTAAGTTATGGAGTGTAATTTAACGAGAAAAGATTTTGTGATCCACCCTGAGTACAGTCAATATAAGTTATAGAATCTGTTTTAGCCTTTGTTGGATCTCAAGCAGAGAATAGCATACCCAATTTAAGATAGAAGGGGAAAGTGGTGGAAAATAGAGATGGAAATGTTGAAGGATCATTAAGAGTCCAGAGTAGAATCTGTATGTGTGAAATTTAGTAAAGGATAAATGGAACATTTCACAAGATTCAAAAAAAAGGATTGTGTAGTTAGTGTTGTTGACACAGCTAATTTTGGATTAAAAAAATAGGCTGGATTCCTACCATGTGGATTAAAGATACACATGTTAAGAATGAATGAATTGGCTCGGCGCCTGTGGCTCAAGCAGCTAAGGCGCCAGCCACATACACCTAAGGTGGTGGGTTCGAATCCCCAGCCCGGGCCCGCCAAACAACGATGGCTGCAACCAAAAAATGGCCAGGCGTTGTGGTGGGCGCCCGTAGTCCCAGCTACTTGGGAGGCTGAGGCAGTAGACTCGCTTGAGCCCAGGAGTTGGAGGTTGCTGTGAGCGTGATGCCGTGGCACTCTACCCAGGGGGATAGCTTGAGGCTTCGTCTCAAAAAAAAAAAAAAAAAAGAATGAATGAATTGTTAGAATCAGGAAAAAACACTAAGTGATTAAAAAAAAATGAAGTAGGAAAACATGTTTTAAAACCTAAGTCATAAGGGAAGACAGTATTAAGCTTTTAAACCAATTGAGTGTGATAAACACACATATAAAAGGACTGCCATAAATGAAGTGCAGACAGATGATAAACTAGGAAAACATTTTCAACAAATGAGCTGATTTTTTTTTATATACAAAGACTGTTTACAAATTGGTAATAAAAACAGACAAAAAAAATGAACCAGCACTTCATAGGAAAAGAGATGCGTGGCTAATAAGGGAAAATGTCCAGTCTTGCTCATTAAAGAAAAGCACATTAAAACAATGGTGAGATACTGGTTTTTACCTAAGTGGAAGCAAACATTAGTTATACTCCATGTTGGTGAGGGGGTTAGGGGATTGTCTCTCATGTATATGCTGTTAATATGTAGTTAAGTCATACAGGCATTCCCTGGCTTATGAACAAGATAGGTTTTGTAGGTTTGTTCTTAGGTTGAATTTATATATAAGTTGGAACAGATACATTAGCCGCTGTTCATAAATGTGAATTGTATGCCAGTTGGATGTCTGTAACTTGGGAACTGCCTACACTACAAGTTCTCAAGAGTTTGGTAAAACATCTCTTTGTTGAATGCAAATGGCCTTTGAGCCAGGTGATCCATTTCTAGGAACTTTCCCTGCAGAAATACCCTCACTTGGAAAACTAGGTACAAGGAAATGTAGCGCTTATTCCTTATGTAAAAATATCCTGGATGAATTCTTAAATGAAAACAAATTGCCAAGTAATATGTTTAATGTGATCCTATTCCGGTTAGTGAGTGTGCGGATTTGTATCACAAAGAACATTTCTTTGTGACATTTCTTAGAACATTTCTTCAGTGACAGGTACACTGGGGACTGATAACTATGTGAATATCTGGTACTGTGTGAATGAGTGTACTTTTTTTAATAGACAGAGTCTCACTTTGTCGCCCTGGGTAGAGTGCCATGTGCCATACCTCACAGCAGCCTCAAACTCTTGGGCTCAAGTGATTGTTATGCCTCAGCCTCCTGAGTAGCTAACTACAGGTGCCCGCTACAATGCCTGGCTATTTTTAGAGATGGAGTCTTGCTCTTGCTCTGCCTGGTATTTAACTCCCAGAGTGCTTGGATTACAGGCATGAGCCACTGCGCCTGGCCAAATGAGTATATTTTTAACGATGAATTTCTGTTACTTTTATCATAAGACTGGCTTAAAATTTTAAAATGTCATCTTTCTGGCAATTAAGTTCCAGCTTCAAAAGTATCCTCTTTAATCCTTCAGTTTCCTACAGCTTCCAGGATCTCTACTGGAGTTTCTTATTCTGAGGGGTCTTCACTGAGAGACTGTCTCTGTTTCTGTTTGTACTCTTACCTCCCAACTCATGTAAACACCACATTGCCAGGCACTGCTTTAAACCTAAATGCTTAGAACAGACAGAACACAAAACTATTTATTAAATGAATGAATAAAATGCTTTAGATTGGGATGGATAAAACATAGAAGATATTGACAACAAATCAAGCCAGCCTCAAGTCTAAAAAAAAAGCCATCTTTTCATAGCTGGATCTAGTCTATTAAGTGCTTTCTTTAAAGTTTTTAAAAGTTTCTTGATCAGTCTTCCATAGCCTAGATTTAATTTTGATATTTACTCATCTTTATGCTGATGACTTGTGGATTCAAGAGTTTGAGAGTCAAAGTATAAAGCACATATGAGAGAGGGTTCTAGAGTCAACCTTGAGTCACTGGTGGTCATACAACCTGGACCAGAGAAGTCACGTAAGTTCTCTGGACTTGAGCCTCTTCATCTGCAAATGAAAATAATACCTTGAGTAATATTGCTAGAAAGATTAAATGAGATGATAGATGTAAAACACCTAGCAGAGTGCCTGGGACTCAGTGAAAAGTATTTCTATACTGCCTTTCTCTTCGTAACCTTTGGGGTGTTTTTGTTTGTTTGTTTGTTTTGTTTTGTTTTTTTTAAAGACAGTCTCACTTTTGTCACCTTTGGTAGAGCGCTGTGGTGTCATAGCTTACAGCAACCTTAAACTCCCGGGATTAACCGATTCTCTCATCTCAGCCTCCCAAGTAGTTGGGACTGTAGGCACCTTCCACAACATCCAGCTGTTTTTTAGGATGAGGTCTTGTTCTGGCTTAGGCTGGTTTCAAACCTGTGAGCTCAAGCAGTCCACCCACCTTGGCCTTCCAAGTGCTGGGGTTATAGGCATGAGCCACCGCACCCACCTTCTTCGTAACCTTTTTAGGGATATTTTGTAATAAGACACACCATTCTAGACTCAAAAACATACAGTAGTAGAATAGCATTTTACTGAAAATTGTTTAATGGAAATAATTTATTTCTACTTTTTTGCAGTAATATTGAAAGTTTTAAAAGACTATAATCGTGTGTGTTGTAACAGAAGGAAGAATGGAAGTATTACAAGAACTTCATAAACCATCAGCACGTTTGGAATGTGACCACTGCAGTTTCAGAGGCACAGACTATGAAAATGTCCAAATCCACATGGGTACCATCCATCCAGAATTTTGTGATGAAATGGATGCTGGTGGGTTAGGTAAAATGATATTTTACCAGAAAAGTGCAAAGTTATTTCACTGCCATAAATGCTTCTTCACCAGCAAGATGTATTCTAATGTGTACTATCATATCACATCTAAACATGCATCCCCAGACAAATGGAATGATAAACCAAAAGGTCAGTTGAACAAAGAAACAGACCCTGTGAAAAGCCCTCCTCTTCCTGAACACCAGAAAATGCCCTCTAATGCAGTGGGACTCTCAAAACCCATACCTGCCCTTTGCATCGAAACACAGAAACTTGGCCCAGTTTTGTCTCCAGAATCACCAAAACCTACTGTTATTCCTCTGGAGCCTCAGAAACCTGCCCCTGTTTCTCCTGAGCTACAGACACCTCCTCTTCTTTCTTCTGAGCCTTCAAAACCTGCCCCTATTTCTTCTCCTGAACTTCCAAAACCAGTCCCTGTTGTTTCTGAACCTCAGAAGGCTGTCTCTGTTCCTTCTCCAGAACCACAGAAGCTTGCTCCTGTATCTCCTGAGCCAGTAAAAGCTACTGTTACTAATCCCAAACCCCAGAAACACTCTCATTTTCCAGAAACATTGGGGCTACCTTCAGCCACCTCTCCAGAGTCACCAGTTCTAGCTGCTTCCCCTGAACCTTGGGGGCCATCCCCAACTGCATCTCCAGAATCTCGAAAGTCAGCCCGGACTGCCTCCCCTGAGCCAAGGAAGCCATCCCCATCAGAGTCTCCTGAACCTTGGAAGCCATTCCCTGCTGTCTCCCCAGAGCCTAGGAGACCAGCCCCAGCTGTGTCACCAGGTTCTTGGAAGCCAGGGCCACCTGGATCCCCTCGGTCTTGGAAATCTAGTCCCACAGCAGCAGCAGCAGCAGCAGCATCAGGACCTTGGAAGCCAGCTAAACCAGCTCCCTCTGTGTCTCCTGGACCTTGGAAACCAATTCCTTCTGTATCACCTGGACCTTGGAAAGCAACTCCCTCTGTGTCACCTGCATCTTGGAAATCTTCATCAGTCTCACCTGGTTCCTGGAAAACTCCTCCTACATCTCCTGAGTCTTGGAAGTCTGGCCCACCAGAACTCCGAAAGACAGCTCCCACATTGTCACCTGAACCCTGGAAGGCAGCTCCCCCAGTGTCTCCTGAACTCCGCAAGCCAGGCCCACCCCTGTCCCCGGAGATCCGTAGTCCAGCAGGATCTCCAGAGCTCAGGAAACCCTCAGGGTCACCAGACCTTTGGAAGCTTTCTCCTGATCAGCGAAAAACCTCTCCTGCTTCACTTGATTTTCCTGAGTCCCAGAAAGGTTCTCGTGGTGGTTCTCCTGATCTCTGGAAGTCTTCCTTTTTTATTGAAGCTCAGAAATCCACCGTCTTCCCTGAGACCCGAAAACCAGGTCCTTCTGGGCTGTCTGAGTCCCCCAAAGTGGCCTCAGATATCTGGAAGCCTGTTCTTTCTATGGACACTGAACCTAGAAAACCTGGCCTGTTTCCTGAGTCTACCAAAGCAGCCCGTCCTGCTTCTCCTGAACCACGAAAACGTGCTCTTTTTCCAGAGCCTCGGAAGCATGCCCTTTTCCCTGAACTTTCCAAATCTGCCATATTCACAGAATCTCAGAAGGCAGTTGAGCTTAGTGATGAACTACAATTAGATGCCCTAGATGATCAAAAGTGTGATATTTTGGTTCAGGAAGAACGGGTCACAGCTAAGAAACTCTTAGAAGACACTTTATTTCCTTCCTCAAAGAAGCTCAAGAAAGACAACCAGGAGAACTCAGATGCTGAGCTTAGTAGCAGTGAGTACATAAAAACAGATTTGGATACAATAGATATTAAAGGCCAAGAATCAAGCAGTGATCAGGAGCAAGTTGATGTAGAGTCTATTGATTTTAGCAAAGAAAACAAAGTGGACATGAGTAGTTCAGAGCAGTTCAAAAATGTACTACAATTTACTGAAGAAAAAGAAGCTTTCATCTCTGAAGAGGAGATTGCAAAATACATGAAGCGTGGAAAAGGAAAGTATTATTGCAAAATTTGTTGTTGTCGTGCTATGAAAAAAGGTGCTGTTTTGCATCATTTGGTTAATAAACATAATGTTCATAGCCCATACAAATGCACAATTTGTGGAAAGGCTTTTCTTTTGGAATCTCTCCTTAAAAATCACGTAGCAGCCCACGGGCAAAGTTTACTTAAATGTCCACGTTGTAATTTTGAATCAAATTTCCCAAGAGGCTTTAAGAAACATTTAACTCATTGCCAAAGCCGTCATAATGAAGAGGCAAATAAAAAGCTAATGGAAGCTCTTGAACCCTCACTGGAAGAGCAGCAGATTTGATTTTAAACACAATGTAAATACCTGCCATATAAAGTTGTCTGTTGAAACCATTCTTTGAAAGTAAAGCTGATGAAATAGCATAGTTGGATCAGTAGCTATTAGTGTGTATGATGTACCCTCTCTCAGTTGTGTTACAAAGGACAAGCATTTGGTTATTTTTTTCATGGCCTCTTGTCTGTGTGGCTGTCTTGTAAATCAATAAATTTCTACTGTATATTCCAGATGGATAAAAGTTTTTCATTTAAGTATATTTGAATAATATGAAGAGGTAGGCATTCCATTTAACAATCAAGAGCAAGTTGTACTAAACACATCTAGTTGAAGTATTTGTTTGTAAAACTAATTTCAAATAATAGAAATTATTGGAATGTTTAAAATTAGGCATGAAAAATAAGTTTGAAAAAATTTTGTTCTCAATTTTCTGTTTGATCCTATAAAATTAATTTATAAATCTTAAACAGTTTTAGGTGTTTATTAGCTTTTATGTCATGGAAAGTTGGAGTCTCAGGGTTGCGGGTTTTTGCTAATAGGGAAAATTGAGTAAGTGTTTAAAATAGTTTGCACCCTTCTACAGGAGACTAAGAGAAAAGTGAGTGTGATTTTAGTTAGGTCTTTCTTGTCCTTGTCTTTAATGGAGTCTTCCATTCTGTATCTTACTCTAAGATCTGGCCATTCACTTTCCTGCCAGCTCACAATGATAGATGGTCCTTAATTGCCAAATGTGTTTGAGCTTGTTTGTCCTACTCCTGGGCATTAGCTGTTAGGGCGTTAGACCAGAGTAATGAGTAGGAACGGAAAGTCTTCCAGATTCACAATTGAAAATTTTATAGTCGTTTCTTTTTGAGAATTGTACAAATTTTATGTTTATCACAGTTCTGTTACTGTAAATACCTTGTACCTGTTCATGGATTATTTTATTCTTAAATATTTTGTCAAATGTGTATCAAATTAAAGGCTTTCATGTCAGTGCTTTCACATGTATTTTGTGTGATTTAATTGTGCAATATCCAAATTCCACTTCCTGTTTCCACTTGTTTTAACATACTGGTTTTTACATCTGGAGCAGTGTTTACTGAGCTGTGTTTTCCTTGAGTTCTGTGGTCCAGAAAGGTTAGGGAAACATGGTATACTAGGCACTCCCAAGTGGAAAATCTCACCCCTGCACATTAGCATATTAAGAGTGATTTAATCCCAGCTGTTGCCTATCATGCGTGCTTCTCTTAAAGACATTTAGTGTCACACAGTATTCTGATGCATAGCCAGAATTGAGACACTGTACTGGGTTTAATTTAGCTCTTTGCAGACATTTTTGAACAAAAACCAGATTTTTGGTGTGTTTTTGTTTCTGTGACAGAGTCTCACTTTGTTGCCCTTGATAGGGTGCCGTTGTATTATAGCTCACAACAACCTTAAACTCCTAGGCTTAAGTGGTTCTCTTCCCTCAGTCTCCCAAGTAGCTGGGACTACAGGTGCCCTCCACAACACCCGGCTATCTTTAGAGATGAGGTCTCACTCTGGCTCAGGCTGGTCTCAAACCTGTAAGGTCAGGCAATCCACCCACCTCAGCCTGCCAAGTGTTGGGATTACAGGTGTGAGCCACTGTAGCTGGCCTGGTTTTTCGTTTTGTTTGGAGGGGGGTGTCCCTATTAAAATGCCAGTTGGAAGTAGTTGATAATTAGATTGTTCTGGGTGCAGTCTGAAAGCTTCAGTTTGGTCAGCACAGGCAGTAAAGCACAGTGAGCAGCTGCTGCTGTTGGTTACTTGGCACCTGGAGAAGAACTTTGTCCTGGGCAGTGATGTCATCAGGTGGGATGGGCAAGACATCTTGCTTGAATATGTAGTTGTCTTTTCCTCATCTATGCTGACTAGAACTGTTAGTGGAAGAACAAAAGGACCTATATTCCCCCAGAAACTATCCCAAATCCCCCAGTCTCAAATCAGTTCAGTCAAAGAATATTTTCCTTAGGTTTTCACCCTTTTTGATGCAGACCAGTCCATCCTTTGCTCCAGGTGGAGCCATCTAGATCGCATGACTTGCCATCTGGGATGGGGATGCATTGCCCGGGCAAGTAGTGAAGTTGCATGTGTAGTTAGTTCATAAGGCCTCGACACTAGTTTAAACAACTGTGTCCTTGGCTCACCTCATTGTTATTTGGTACTTCTTTCTCCTTTTACTTTTGAGATTAGGGTGAGCTGTGCTATTTCTTTAGTCCTTAATTTAACTGGATAATTTTGGCTCCTGCATCTTTTTCTAATCAGTATGACCAACTCAGTACGTTTTCTTTCCCTGTGATTACATTTTTTTTTTTTTTGAGAGTCTCAAGCTATCACCCTGGGTAGAGTGTCTTAGTGTCATCGTAGCTCACAGCAATTTCAAACTCCTGAGTTCAAGCAATCCTCTTGCGTCAGCCTCCCAGGTAGCTGGGATTACAGGCATGTGTCATCATGCCAGGGTAGTTTTTCTACTTTTAGTAGAGATGGGGTTTCACTTTTGCTCAGACTGGTCTCAAACCCGTGAGCTCAAGCAATCCACTGTACACGGCCACAAATATTTTTAATAAACTCTTCAATCTAGTGATTTTGCACAATGCAAAAGGGAATGAAAATTATACCATCTTTTTTACTCTACCTTATGGACCTGATGTCATTGTTTTCTAAGTCACCAATTTAAATTTGAACTTTAGCAGATAATGCATGCCTTCAGATTAAATATTGGTATAGATTCTATAACTTTATTTTAGATGAAGACAGAAGGATGCTTATCAAATCAGGTCTGTAAGCATATAACAAGGAGGGGTTTCTTTTTAAGTTGAATTACAGCCCTAGTTTTAAAAATTCCTGAAGTCATACCCTGCTCATGCATACTGTTTATGTGATCACATGGTGTATTAGTTTTCTTTCCGTCACAAATTATTATT